AAAAAGGAGAAAAAAAAAAAAAAGCAAAATCGAATAGATCTACCGCTAGAACATGGAAATATACATTGTCACACTTGTTTTTGTTTGTGTGTGTGTGTGTGTGTGTGTGTGTGTGTGTTCCGGGGGGGGGAGGCGACCCCCTCACTACTAATCAATCAATCAATCAAAAAAAAAAAGGCCGCGATCGTTTGGGTGTGTGTGTGTGTGTGTGTGTGTGTGTGTGTGTGTGTGTGTTCGCGGGGGGGAAGGCGACCCCCCCGTCGCTAATCAATCAATCAATCAATCAACATATCTCTCTTTCAAATGGCTTTTTTTTTTCTTTTTTACGATCAATCAATCAATCAATCAATCAATCAATCAATCAATAAATCAGCCAATCAATCAACCAATCAATCAATCAATCAATCAATCAATAACCGGCGTTCGGGACGGGCTGAAACTAAAAGAATTAAATTTAGTTAGTGCGCGAGCACGTTTTCTTTTCTTTGACCAAAAACTGCACTGTTTCATATTATACAAACCGGGAAACGGGCCCGGTGTCCCTCACATATGTGCAGGCGGCTCCTGGTTATGAGCGAGGCATCACCGGCCAAGCCCATATCGGGAGTCGCTGAGTCCCAAAGAAACGAGAAAGGCAAGACAACTATATGTTCCTGACTCAACCAAGAATCGAGAAAACAGAAATCGCATATACTTCTAACACTCTTTTGTACTCTGAATACTCCAAATACTCTGAATACTCTTCATACTGGGAAAGCCAAAACAAGCTGAGGAATCTACACAGGTAAAGTTCAGCCTGTGCTTCTAAGGGCCTCGTTCCACCACACTTGACCAACCCTAGAGTCTCAAGTGCGCCCTAATCCCGAAAATGTGATTAACTCACCCTTAGCAGAATCGTCGTTCCATGTGCACTAGAGGAAATACTTGAAATAGACGCCCTAGAGACGGCCGCGGCGGCCCAGACTGGTGGCGGTTCGTTTGGAGGTCGTGCCGTGCACCAGCACGGGTTTGCTGGTTTGAAAAATTGTCCGTCCAACGACGTGGTCGTGGGCCCATCAGGTCCCATACGGGCCCGCGCCGCTTTTTTGAATTTTTGAATTGCGTGGCGCCCACTTGGGCTGTGGGCGAGTCCTACAAGAGCCCCCGCTGCGCAGCCAAGGCGTGCGATTGAGGAATCGAAGTTCTGGCAGCGTTTGAGGAAGCGGAGTTCAGCAGCATTCGGGGAAGCGGAGTAGAGTACGCCATAGCGGGTTTTTCAGTGCGAGGAGGGAAATGGACGTGGTGGGCGACGTGGCGGCGCGTGAGGGGTTGACGGAGACCGAGAAGGGTTTGCTGGTCACTGTCCTGACGGCGGTATGCGAACACGTGCAAAGAACAGGGGAGGCGCGTCTGCGGTCTCTCCGGCGAATGCGGCGGCGGACGGAGGTGGCCATGACGCGGGCGATGGCTGACTCGGGCGCGCCGCCTGTTTCGTGGGACGCGCCTTTTCTCATGGCCAATGCCATCGTCGCTGGCGTGCTTCCGCGGGAGAGTCCACGGTGGTGGGTAAGAAGGAGGACCGGAGGAACGTGGGAGGACCTCAGCATATCAGACGATGCGACGACGGATTACTACCATGAGAAGCTACGGATGACGAAGGAGGTCTTCCAGGACATCGTCGCGGCATGCGCACCCTTTCTTCATCGACAGGTCACGCACTAACGTCAACCACTCCAGCCCGACCATATTGTTGCTTACGCGCTGTACAGATGGGCTTCGGAAGAGACCTTCGACAGCGGGACTTGTTCGTTCGGCATCGGGAGAGCAACCGGCATCAAGGCTGTCAGGGATGTGACGGACGCAATCTTGGCGGCGTACCCGGACATTATAGTGATGCCCGTCGGTCGACGCCACCAGCAGGTGACACGTGCTTTCGGAGCGAAAGGGTTCCCTAACTGAATCGGGGCCATAAACTGCACACATGTATACGTGGACAAGCCCGCGAACGCGCCGGCCGACGATTACTTCGACCGGAAGCAGCAGTACTCCATCGTCGTGCAGGTCGTCGTGGATCTTGACAAGCGTGTGCTAGACGTTTTCTGCGGCTATCCGGGTAGCGTGCATGATGCAAGAGTGTTGTGGAACTCGTCACTGTACAGGCGTGCTACGGCGGGGACTCTATTCAACGCAGAACCTGCGATCTTGCCCGGAGGGCCGGAGGGGTTCGCACAACCGGCTATCTACTGGGGGACAACGGCTATGGGCCCATGAAATGGATCGTCGTCCCGTACGGTGGGGTGGAGCAGGTGCCGGACGTGGCGTTGTTTGATGCAAAACAGAAGACGGTTAGAGGAGTGGTGGAAAGGGCTTTTGGCCGTTTGAAAGGAATGTGGAGACTGTTCCTGCGACACCATAAGAAGAACATGGATAACATGCCGCAGCAGTTCACTGCTGTTTGCATCCTCCATAACCTGCTGATAGACGCTGGTGTCGACTTCGAATGGAGCGGGATGCCGACGGGAACGAACGGCCGATAGATCTTGGAATGTATCCACCGGTGGCGCCTGTTGCACAGCGAAACGCCGATCCTGAAGCTCTCGCTCTCAGAGATGCTCTCCGCGCGCGCATCTCGCTGTTGCCCCGCTGATGGCCGTGAGAGAGAGAGAGAGAGAGAGAGAGAGAGAGAGAGAGAGAGAGATCGCAGCACGACTTTAGCGTCGAATCCGGGTAGTGCGCCATTCCATGTTCATTGAAATTTGATTGATGTGGTTGACCAATAGAGGGCGGCTTTGTTGTTGGACAGTGTTTATTTCCCGCCTTGCGGCACGGCATGTTTTGTCGTGCACTTATTTTATTTTCATCGACAATATGACAAGTGGGTGGCAACGTTGTAATCGGATTTTTATTATTATTATTTTTAATGTCGTTGTTGTTCGTTTTTTTCTTTTCTTTG